GATGTCCTGGGCCTGCCAGTGTTTAAGAGGCATTTGGGCAATGCCCTCAATAACATGCTTCAGCTTTTGGTCAGTCCTGAAGCGGTCAGGCAGTTGGACTAGATGATCATTGTAGGTCTATTCTATATTGTTTATAGAGTACTATCAGTTAGCTCCACTGAGTTCATCCTGCAGTACTGTACATTTTTATGTGTGTTCAAGTAGTTAAATTCAACCCAGTGCTACCAGAGCAAACCTAATTATGATGCCCATAAATGAACTCCCTAAAAAATGGTAAGGTATCGCTGCATTATACTGCAGTACATCATTTAGACATTCTTCTTAGGTAAAAAGTGTTACTTGTTTTTCAAAGATTTTATTAAAAAAAAAAAAAAAAAAAAAAAAAAAAAAAAAAAAAAAAAAAAAAAAGAAAAAGAAAAAAGAAGTTAGCCATATTTGGTTTAGTTAAGCTATATTTCAATGTATTTAATAGCCTAGTCTATGTGATTGCTTTTAGATTAGCAAAAAAATCATCTTGAACCTCTTGCGTTTAAATGAGACATCATGACATTCAAAGGAATGCCACTAATTATCTTGTGAGCTACACAGAATCTCATTTTTCATAAAAAAATCTGTCCAAATTTTTTTCATAATCCTTAGATTTCTTTAGAGCATTTTTATCTCAGTAATTTCTTGAATTTCAATGAAATTTCAAATTGTCAAAACCAAACATCTACATTACCACATTACAATTTATACAGTAGAGAGTTGAGAGCACAATTATTAAAAGAGATACTTACTGCTACTTCATATCCTCTGACATTTTAGAAAATTAGTTTGACTTTAGAGAGGTTTACATGTATTTTTCTACACACAATTTATGTTACACATACAAGTGAGACAGAATTGTAGCTTTAATCATTATAATCTATGCTACAAAAATTCTTTTGTTCAGAGGTATGAAACAGTTCCTGCTTTATGATTCAATGCTAAATACTACATATTTCTACCTCAGAGCAGCAACTGCTTAAGTACTTTTTTGGCCTGACAAAATTATATATCTTTTGTCCAGAACTGACCAAGAATAATGAACTATAATTTTAAGTTCAGAAGCTTCCCTTTAAATTAGGGCTGGGTTTGTTCAGACTTTTTTTGTAGGTAAGGAAATGTGACCTGAAGATTAAAAAAAAAAATAAATTAATGTTGTAGTCAGTAACAACTGATACAAGGGACCATTAATGCATTTGACTGTACCGAAATAAAAGTGTAATTTAGCTTCCTGTATAATTAAATATAATCATAAATTTATACTCTGTTGTATACTTTATGCAGTATAAAAGGAATACAATTGATTTTACAGCACCACATAAGAGAACATTCTAGAGGGTTGCACTGGAAGCAAGACTTAGTTTGAACAGGAAAGGGAATGTGCTTTGGTGGGTTTTGTTCTGTTGTCTTTGTTTTTAAAGGAGGGCAGTTAACTATGGGAACAGCTTTTGGAATAACGGGGGAAATTAGAGATGATCCCCCTCCCCCCACAAATTCTTAAAGTAATACTGATTTCTTTAGTAATACTAAAGAAATTTCAGGGTAAAAAGCAGCTGCTACTTCTGGGATGGAATGAGGTTAGCAAGCACAGAATCTACCCTACAACAGTTCTCCACCTAACCCTGCAACCTAAGCACATGCGATGATCAATTAAATAGAGAGTGGAGCAGAGCAAACACACCGTGGACAGGCTGTAACTCCCTGAAGGTGCAGGAATGTGAAGACACCACATATTGATAAATAGCTGAGCAGCTGACAGATGGTGATTGTAAAGTGAGAGAATTTCACACCAAAATACGTATGACTAGAGCCATCCAAGCTCCACAGACACATGATTAAGCTCCACAGGTGTTTAGTTAAACCTCTATATGCGTAAACTCTAAAATATAGTTAAAATTCCATAGGTATTTATTTAAGAAATTAAAACTTGTATTACTGTGAAAGATCCTGAACAAGGTCTCTTAAAGGATCAGGAGATGTTGGAAACAATGAGAACTGATAGCTGGAGAAGCTCTGGCCTTGTAGGCAGACAGAAAACAAGACTGAGAAAAACTAGACTAGTGAACCTCTAATCAAGAAATACTATCCTTGAAGTCTGCTACATCCTGATAACACCAGGACAATTGTCAAAATGCTTTTCATGAGTCAGATATAAGATGATGAAGTGCCCTTTTGGTAAACTTCCCTCATTATAACCCCATTTTAATACTAAAAATCATACCCATAGGTCCAAAGACTCCTGTCCAGGTCAGGAGACCCTCCCAGGAGCATGCATAGTTAGGCATTTAGTAATGTAATCCTTATGCACATTAGCAGACCAACCAGTAAAAGGAGGTAGGGTGGTAGTACAAGGAGTTACTAATTCAAATTAAATCATCTAAGTATGCAAAATTAAGGGGTTGTGTGTGCATGAAATTAGGGAAGACTCCATCGTAACTATTGGGATCAGTCGGTGGGCTGAACACGTCTTCTCCCTCAGGTAGGGACACCTATTGGCTAAGAAATACCACATCCGTGCACACTTAATGATTGAAATTTAGCTGGCTTTATACATTATTCTCATGCTGCTTATTTGAGTTAGTATATTATATTGTTACCAGCAACATTTGAACCTTAAAACTGTCACAAAATTATATAATCATAGAATCACAGAATCATAGAATAGTTAGGGTTGGAAAGGCCCTTAAGATCATCTATTTCCACCCCCCCTGCCATGAGCAGGGACACCACACACTAAACTATATTGCCCAAGGCTCTGTGCAGCCTGCCCTTAAACTTCTCCAGGGTTGGAGCATTCACAAATAAATAATAAAAATAAAATAGTAAAATAATAATTACATAATAATAAAAGTTCTCAGTTAAGATCTATTTTGTCTGAGTTTTCAGAGACTTAAATTGACTTAAAATTGGCTTAAAAGCTTAGAAAGTTTTTAACTTGATGTGTGAATCTGTTACCATGTACCCTGAATAGGATGGTCAGAATCACCTTCCGATACAGTGTGCTGTCCAGTGGAGTGCCTGCAGAGGGATCTGATAGGCTAATCAGGCTCAAGGGTCTCAAGAGTCTTGTTTTTCCTGGGATGGTAATAAACGCATCAATTTTAGAGGTGAAGGGGAGAAATCCTCCCCCTTATAGGGGGATAAACTTCTTACTGGGCTAAAGACCTCCCCCTTAACATGGCAGCTTATGAAATACAAAGTGATTGCCTAATCTCCAGCTGGAGTGTATTTTTCCATTCATAAAATAGATAGCAAATTTTCCCATTTTAGGGGGGGAAACATTTAGAATGATACAATACCATTGCCAAAGACATCTCCCTAAACAAGATCCCAAATGACAAACACTGTCTCTATAACAAAAGTAACTGAATAAAATTCAATGGCTAGTGTTACACAATAGCTAATAACTGGATTATCACTAATGTCCTTGCTAGTTTTAGCATTCAATACATTTATGAAATATGAGAATACTTCTAGTTACCTATAGATTAACACCAATTATATTCTGTATTACCTGCCTCTGAAGATGATTTCGACTTTTCTCCGTTGTGCTGATCAAGTGTACTCAGACATCCAGATGCTCTCCTCACATCCCATAATTTCACTTTACCATCAGCACTAAGAAAAACAGATTTGCACACATTAAGGAAATTGTGAGCACTCTAGTTCAGTAACTGTCTTTAGCCAACCAACCTGCAGTCACCCTGGTCCAGCAACTATTCTGAACTACACATCATGCAGTCACATTCAAGCCACTAGTTCCATTACAAGATTATTTTGTCAGAATTCAGGCATTCATTTACATGTATTCATACATACAGCTGGTACACTAGAGCCACCTAAGTTAAGAGTGAATCTTTGTTTACAATACACTTGCCTCTTTGTCAGCAGCACAATACTCTTAAATACATACACAGACTAAAAACAAACTTGCTAATTCTTCTGTTGAGTAAACCACTAGCTACAGACTCCATCATTCTCTGTAATGGTTGTCTGGGAACTCACACTCTTGCTATCACGAATCTACAGTATGACTGGTACAGAAGTTGCCTACTAACATGTACGCTGGATAGATCTGTATGCTTTGCTGTCATACAGTTTATGTGCTCTGTTCTCACACAGTGGTATGGCACAGAAACACTGACAGCTTGCTTTTGTATAAACTCTTTGGCTTTGTCTACCAGGGTGGCACAAGGAAAGAAACAGCACGGTTCAGGCTCCTGTGATTCATTCTGGTACCCAGACCACCACATGTTCATGCTCTGCTCACCCTTTGTCTTTGCCAGCAACAAAAGTTATGGTAACTCTTGGGACTACATTCACGCTTAGACTGCAAGACTGCAGGCAGTGCACTCTGAATGGCACCTCAGAGTGCAGCTTCGTTTAAGCATTCCAGTAGTATAATTTTGTGTGCGTCCCCAAGATTCCCAGGAACTGATGGGAGGTAAATTCATAGAAAATACTATTTCCCATGCACCAAGTCATCAGTGTAGATGTATTTAGTGAAACTTTTTGGACACTTCCCAGCAACTTAACTGTCCATAAACAGTGCATTATTATGAGGAATATAAACAGTATGCTCCAAGTGACCAAAGCAAAACTGTTACTTATCTGTTCTATATTTGACAAAGCTAATGACTGGTATATTATTTTGTGCTCCCCTGTACACTACAGACTGATTCTACTAACTTTCAAGTGATATTCCAACTGAATATGCAGACAACATATTACTTTACTGCAAACAAATATTCTAAGAACACAAAAAGAGATCACAGAACCATAGAATGGTTTGCGCTGGAATGGACCTTAAAAACTATCTCATTCCACCCCCCTGCCATGGGCAGGGACACCTTCCACTAGACCAGGTTGCTCAAAGCCCCATCCAACCTGACCTTGAACACTGCCAGGGATGGGGCAGCCACAGATTCTCTGGGCAACCTGTGCCAGTGTCTTACCATCCTCACAGTAAAGAGCTGCCTCCTAATAACTAGTAAGAATCTATGCTATTCCAGTTCAAAGCCATTACCCACGTCCTATGCCTACATGCCCTTGTAAAAAGTCACTCTCCAGATTGCTTGTAAGGCCCCTTTAGGCACTGGAAGCTGCTCTAAGGTCTCCCCTGAGCCTCCCCTTCCAGCGGAGGCTTGTTCCATTGTTCAATCCCTTTCAGACTGAACAAACCGAACTCTCTCAGTCTGCCGCCATAGAGCATCTCTGCACGCTCCAGCCCTCTGAGCATCTTTGTGACCTTTCACTGGACTCACTCAAGCAGGTCCACATCCCTCTTCTGTTCTGCCTCCCAGGGCTGGATGCAGTGTTCCAGGTGGGATCTCATGACATCAGAGCAGACAGGGAGAATCACCTCTGCTGACCTGCTGCCACACTTCTTTTGATGCAGCCAAGGGTAGTTTCTCCGATGCAAGCACACACTGCTGCCTCACATTGAGCTTCTCATCAATTAACACCCCCAAGTCCTTCTCCACAGGGCTGCTCTCAATCCATTCTCTGCTCAGCCTGTATTTGTGCTTTGGATTACCCTAACCCAGGTGCAGGACCTTGCACTTGGCCTTATTGAGCTTCATGGGGGTTGCACAGGCCCACCTCTAAACTAAGAGGTTCGGCATAAGAAGGCAAAGGTATGCAATTTTGGTATCAACTTAATTAAAAATCACTCTCAAGTTACAAAATGGCCATTCCTCTCTGCAATTCAAAAGAAAAGGCATGCCAACCATGAAACTGAGCAATGTCACGTTATAATCAAAAGCTAAATTACGCAAAATTTATAGGGAAGTCAAGAGGATTAAGACTGAAAAAATAAAAGGCCCAGGAATATCAACATACAATCCATACTCACTGAAGTACTGCAGCTTGGAAAGTTATTACCCATCAGCTAAGCTACCAGTTATGCTCTTTGACATTACTGGTGATTTACCACAATGGTACTTTGAGCTAAACATATTTTACTTTGTTATAAAACAGATCAGCAATGCACATGCTAATAAATAGTAAAAAGTAAGTATCTTAATAACGTTCTACCATTTTCCTATATATTTAAATCCACTTACTATTTCAAAACTCTACAATCTTCCTATAAAATAAGCATAATATGGATAATCTCAGGCTTTTTTTCTAGGCAAGACCTACAAAACTGTGACTAGGTTAAAGTAAATGATGAAAATCAACTTGAGAAGTGCATTTGAATTGTAAAAATTATACATCATGAACATACAAAATTCTACCATCAGACATTCTTAGTGCATATAACAGTCCAGCAACATCCCTACCTTCCTGTTGCCAAAACATATTCATGACGTGGGGACCAAGCCACTGCCAGTACTTCTTGCCTGTGACCTAAAAGTTAAATGAACAGGCTTATACACACCATTTTATGTAAATAACTAAAAGTAAAAGTAAATACTTCATTCTACAGAACCTATCAACCCAGAACAAATCTAAGTTGTAGTATGAATTTGAATTTTGTGAAAATGTATTATTTTTGGCTAGAGGTTATTTCACTTTCTTCCTCTTGCTCAAGTGGGATTGCAATTTACTTTTAATACTTTAAGTTTTATGTTTGCATTGGTGTTCTCACATGCAGAAGGAACTTCCCATTTTTCTCCAAATCCTTTCAAAATGTTTAATAAAAAGTGTATTTACCTTATCTACTTAAGACTAGAACTTTACCCAGCTCAAATACTCTTGTCCTGAATATGGGATATTTTTCTCTTAATTAGGTCTGAAATGTTAAGATATTAAGATAAAATGTCATACCCAGTGCTGCTTAGTGGCAAGTATTACGTATATACAAACACGTGCTTTAAAACTTGAAAAGTTTTAAAAATGATGAATACAATTTCATAAATACAGACAGTAGGAAGTGTAAGGCGTCTTAGATGGAAAGGCTGCAATCATGCTTCACATAATAATAGAAATACGTTGCTGAAAAAAACCTGAAGTTATAGCAAATAAAGTTGTAGCAAATACATTTTTGCTAATGCAATTTAAAGCTATGTGAACCACCTTGTTACTATTATATCTTCTAGAAGTTGGTTTTCCATTACCTGAAGTAATCAAAGGGCCATGATGCTCAGGATAATGGAAAAAATCTCCATAACACAGGTACTACTGGATACAATTGGAAGGCTCAGGGCAGACACATTTATTTGGATCCATTAAGTAAACTACAGCCAAGCATTTACCTCCATTTCAGCTGCTAGACTTAGTCAATGTGAAAAAATGTTCATATCTATTTTTCAAGACACTATTGAGTGGTTCAAGTTCTGTAAAGAATGATTATGTTTAGTGGAAGACAAACTCCTTCTGCTTGTTCCCCTGATACTGCATTTAAGCTAACTGTATCAGAAAAGACACAACCAGCTTGTTCCTGGAAGGCACTAACTCTTCTGTCAAAATTAAGGAGCCTGCTGAAACCAAATTGATTCTTCAGTGAACAATTTTTTTGTCTGCACCCTCTGGTGATCCCTGTTCTAGAAACAGAACATTGACACACCCCTTGTAGCCAATTTAATTCAGAGGGAGTTGGTGATGTAAGCTCTGCATCATATGAAAGCACCTTTTAGATCTGAGCCGGCCAGTGAGGAAATAAGGCTGCATTTCCACATTGCTGTCTGAGCTAACACTCCTCTAAAGTTTCTGGATCAGATCTGGCTTTTGCGCTGCTGGTTTGAAGCATGAAGATTTACTTTGTAATTGCCTTCACTTGAGCATTTATATATACACTCATACTCCAACAAATAAATATTAGAAAACATTAAGTACAAAAATGAATGGCTTACAGAACAATAAAGCCCCTGTGTTTACTGAATCTAGTAAATGAAAAGGATTAGATATTACCCTTCCACAGCGAGTAATAACTTGCCAGTTATACAGAAACTTCTAAACAAAGCCATGCAAGCACCTCCACAGGATATTTTGTTAAAAATAGTGATTTGTTTTGTTTTGTTTGGGTTTTTTTAAAAACAAAACCCACCAAAATCCCACCAACAAAAGAAGAAATAGTGACCCATATCACATTTCCATGAAAACAAAAACAGTGCCTATACTTAAGCATGTAATAAATAGTTATCACTATTGATTAGATCATGAAAACGCCTGAACATCTGTAATAATTGTTCATTAATTAGTATTTGTATTCTCCAATTCATTATCACTAACACCCAGAAGAACCTTTTGCCACTGTGTAACTTTCACAACTGGCAATAAATAAATTAGTCATGTTACTTACAAAGAATACATTGTATACAGTGTTTCTTTACAGGACTTGTTTTACTGAAAGTAGTTATTGTTTAACATTTATGTTTCAGACTAAAAGTACCCTGCAGAATGTGAGAACAAGATCCAGACTTCAAGTCACAGAGCTGTACTTTGGGGCTTTTGGTACCAACTGTAACAAGAGAAACAAACAAAGACAGCTAAAAAAAAAAAAAAAAAAAATCGCAGCATTTGAGAAAATAATAAAAAAAATCTTAGCAATAACAAAGAAATAGAAGAAAAATGTTAGCTGCATAACAGTTCATTTAGTCAAAGCAATGGGTTCTATCAATGGATTTACATTTTTCATCCAAGTAAACTTACTATATAACAAACAATTTAAAAACTGGGGGTAAACAGGACAGTATTAATGAAATTTAAAAATATCTCTTTAATTTTTTTTTTTTTTTTTGCTAAACATAATTAAACTGTATACATGTAAGCAACATGCACAGAGCTCATTTACACAATTTACTGTGTTTGGATCTAATAACATTCAAATGCTAACTTAAGTAATGGAAAGTAATTAATTATAGTGAGGAATTTTTATCTAGGAGACCCAATTGATGCATTATTTCAGAAAAACGAGTGTCATATTTTCATAAACATCTAACCAATAATATTTTATCAATGTACAAAGACAGGGCAGGGGGAAAAAACCCTACTGAATATTACCTGCTTATTACTGTAAAACCAAAATACATAGGGCATTTCTCAAAAACACACACGTACCTGCTACTAAACAATGATTTGTAGCAACTGGAGACATGTGATGGCTATAAACTGTTCCTTTAAAGTGAAAGACATCTGCAGACTGATAATAAGATTAATTTAATCACAGCACAAGTTATCAGGATGCAAATCCTCATTATTAAGAGTTTTTCAAGTAGCAGCTACAAGTAAGACTAATACAAGTATTACTTTTCACATATTAGCAATAACTCTCCTGGTTAGAAACCATGTCGCACAAACATTGAAAAGTAAGTAAGCCTGTTTCCAACACTAAAACTACTATGCTAGAGCTCTGAGGTGACCCAAAGGAAGGAACAAGAAAACTGGCTATTCAGAAGCATAAATGGAAATTATTAAAAAATGCTAGCAAGAAAAAAAAATGGCAAATGGGAATGTTATAATATGGAGACAGAAGTCAAGAGGAGAGAAGCACTTAATCTGAATAAATTTAGCAGTCCCTTGTCATTCACAAACATCACACACTATTTTCAATTCCTAAAAAAACCAAAAAGAACAACAAAAACCAAACCCAACAACAACAAAAAAAAAAACCACCACAAGCAAAACCAAACAAAAACCAAAACCAAAAAACCCAACCAAAATACACAAAAAACTCACCACAAAATTATTAGCTCCCTTGTGAACATTAAAACTACCAAAACATTATATTTGCTTTAATAATCAGTACAATTATTTGCAGGAACAATTGCTTTTGTTGTTCCCTTCTAAAATACTGCATATTTGGGGGGGAAAAAAAAAACCCAACCCAAAAAAACCAAAAAACAAACAAACCCCTAAAACTAACTTGTCTGTGTTTTCAAATACAACATTTGGATGGCAGAACTGGCCAATCAAGCTTCCCGTGCACACTCTGTCTTTTAAGTGATGCCCACAGAGCCACCTGGAAAGTAAACTGAACTTCTGAGTTATGAAAAGATTTAGTAACTGCAAATATGGCTTCACATCTACCAAAAAAAACCCCAAAACCAAACACACACACACCACCACCCCCCCAAAAAAAAAAAAAAAAAAAAAGGTCAGAATTTATTCTCTATTTTGTCACTGCAATTCTGACAATGATGAGAGACCTGCACCCACAGTTGTAACAATTGGCTAGTTTTCATCCTTCTCTGGATGCTTGGTCCTGTTGAGCTCTGGGGAAACTGCAGTTGTGAAATGAATAACATGTATACAAACAAGCCTGTAAGTTGTAAAATTCTCTTACTTTTAAAGTATTTGTATCCCATATTTTCAAGGTTTTATCAAATGAGCTGGATGTAAACATGCCAGTGTCATGAGGATACCACTGGACCGTCTCCACACTGAATTTATGTACATCAGGATGTCCCCTAAATTCAAGGAAAAGATTCCAATCAGTTAGTGTCTTGATAATCATCTTATAATTGTCTTGGTATCTGACAAGTTGAAAACATAGGTTAAACTTCTTTAAAATAATTTTGTACAGAATTTTTAAATAAACATTTTAATAAGTAAAAGTAAGCAAAACAATTAAAAAAAAAGCATCCCTTACTATCCAGTACCCGAGAAATGACAACCCCTTGAAAACTCCCCCGCCTCTGTTTTGTTGCTGCACATTACATTGTATTGTATGGAACATCAATATTCCTTTGGTCGAGTCAGCTGTCCCAGCTGTATTTTCTCCCAGTCCCTTGTCCAGTCCTAGCCTTGCTTGCTAAGAGGGCAGAGTGAGGAACAGACTCTGTGTGACACTTGCATAACCACTATTCGGCAATAGCTAAACCAGCAAGATCAGTCACAAATCCAAAACATAGCACCATACAAGCTAGTATGAAGAAAACGAACTCCATGCCAGCCAGATGCAATAAACTTGCGAAAATAGTTCAGCTGGCTCCATCTACAGCTCAGAAGGGCTCCAATTTCTTCACCTCAGCTCTTTGCATTGTGCTTTTAAGTGTCCTGGCCTCCAAAGCAGTAACTATTGCAGGGGTATCACTGTGTAAACACAGATGCAGATCTGTACAGATCTGGCAATACACCTAAGCTAATAAACTTTCCTGCTCACTTGGGTTGCTAGAAAGCACAGAAGACATCTTTAAATAGTTTGCCTGAAGCCAGCACTGAGAACACCAAGTAAGAGCTATTGAGCAACTGTTGAGCTTAGTTTAGTAATTCTTGCATTATCTCCGAGGCATACCTGAGAACAGGCTGTTACTTTGTCATAATGCTAAAAATCAACAGATTTTATGCACTGATTCTACAGGTGGATCAAGCTAAAAATCTTCATGACCTGCAGTGCCAGTAAATCAATCCTGACTCAGAGTGAACTTAGTCTTGCAGAGGCTTTTGTATGCACTCTGCAGAAGAAAACAAAAAAACAACAAAACAACAAAAAAACCCCAAACAACAACAACAACAAAAACCAAAACAAAACCCACAAACCCCTAAACTCATGGAACTTATTATCCTGGTACTAAGAGTATAGGTGCACAACACTGGACCGTGTTCACCACTACAGGAGAGCAATTAATTCTTCCATAATACAGAAGGTTTAGGAATGAACTAAAATACCCTTGAGAAGCTCTGCAGGAATCACCTCTGATCTTGCTAGGCTTAGTAACAGCCACATGTCACCCGGCCTGGATTCATCTCTCAGGGCTGTATTTTATACCCACTTTCTCCTATTACTCAGAATACCTTTTCTACCAAAGAAAAGTACAGAATTAATTCTATGGATAGTAAGGTCACTGCCACTCATTCCTCTTTGAAGGGTTTTCAGTAAAGGAGACTACCTTACAGACAACCATCAGCTGTGTATTACCTAGAAGCTGGTACTGTTCAGTTACTCTGAAATGTCAGGTTTTGCCACAGAACAGCATGGATCCCATAAAACCATGTGAAGCTCTGTGTGCTGACTCCTAGTGTAACAAGGAAAGTTCTTGGTTTTGCAATAGGGAGAAACACTGACTAAATCACAGCCAGACATCAGGATGCTCTAAACCTCAGCAGGCCCAGTTCAGGGTCTATATATAAGTAGCTTCAAAGGGCCTGTACTTTCTCTGTAAGGAACTTTGGTACCAATTGCATTGTGACATTATAGACTTGGAATATAGGCTAACTTCTGCAACATGACATTATCACTTGCTTCAAAGATAGAAGCCAGTCAGATGGGAAGCACTTTTTATTGGCAAGTGCAAATTCATTTAAAATGTCAGGAACTCTGTACAAATAACATTCCAATATCTGAAGCTGTATCTGTAACTAATAAGCTACAACTAGTATTTAAAACATACTAGAAAGCTACATGAACACTGGGAACAAATAATTGAGGCCAAAAACTACTATGGTCATTTTAAGCAATAATAAGCCTATTGTGTCACACATTCAGATTCTACTAGTATGATGTATACCTCTACTCAATTGATAAGAAATAAACATGTCTAGATGCATCTTAACACCTACTCAAGAAACAGACTACCAACTATGTTCATAAACAGGATTTTCAAGTATGGAATATTTCTACTGACCCAATTGAAGTTAATGATAGTGTGATTTTTAGCACAGATTTGCCAGTTTTCATGCTGTCTTCTCATCATGTATTTCTTCAGTTTGCTGTATCTGTTTCAGATTTCATCTCCGTTTTGATATTTGGGGATGTATAGTTATTACTTGTTCTTAATTACAATTTTAATTAATTTTGTTCAAGAAGTCCCGGCCATCAAACTTTTACCAAATGCAGCTGACTTGCAGTAGATTCTGTTGCTATCCACTGGTTTTGATGCATGTTCTATTACCCTTTTTCTTTCCTATGGTCCGAGATACCATTTAGGCCTTTTATTGTTACAAATCTGTTCTATTCTTGTTGGTCTTACTCATGAAGCTCTTAGACCTCAAGCAACTCGAAGACTAGGAAAAAATAAGGGAAAATGTAGCTACTAATCTTTTGCACAGCAGGACACATTTTATGACTCTCACATAAAGTCCTCACCTACTAGATAACTTTGCTATCTAAAAACAAGGAAAAAAAACCCTTTTCCTAGAAGACTTAATGCCCATATAGACAAAGTTATACTGCCTCCAGTGAAACCCAGACAAGTTGGTAAAGGTTTGAGCCTTTGTATAGATTACACGCAGTATGGTAGTACCTTGTTCTTGAGAAATGTCTCTTTTGTCAGTAACACATCCGTTTTCCATAGAATCACAGAATGGTTTGGGTTGGAAAGGACCTTAAGATCATTTAGTTGCAAGCCCCCTGCCATAAGCAGGGACACCTCACACTAGACCGTGTCGCCCAAGGCTCTGCCCAACCTGGCCTTGAACGCTGCCAGGGATGGAGCATTCGCAACTTCCTTGGGCAACCCATTCCAGGGCCTCACCACCCTCACATCAAACATGTCTTTGTCAAACATGTTCTTAAGAAGTCCTGTATTAATTATCTCTGCACCTGGTGAACCTAAAATACCTATACGTAAAGCTGGAGCAGGCAGATGGGAAACAAAACAGCTGCAAGTCTGTATTAGATTTTTTTCCAATCAGATGAACAAGATTATGCAAATGTAATTTCCCTGCTGCTTAAACACATATTTATTCAAAGATATACATGCTGTATATTCTTGGGGGATGCAAGTAATATTTCTACAAGAGGCAGTCATTGTATATATATTGTAACTGTTAGGCAAATCAAGAAAAAGCAATTATTCCTGCTACTTAGTAAATCACATAAATCCACACAAAGTTTCTTGCCTTCTTTTTGCATGCCAAAAAGCGTAATGCATCCTCCTAGCCTTCAAAGATTTCTGGCACTATTTTCTACAGTCTTTTATCCTAGAAATAAGAACATATATTAATTTGTCACACAAGAGATGTCACACTATGACATCTCTTTTGAGCACTTACCTTCCCACAGAACAAAGCGCTTTACATGTGTAACTTGGTTCTCTGGTCAAGTTTTCAAGGTCATAAAGCACAATAACACCATCTGACCCACCAGATAACATGCTGAAAAAGTTAAGAAAGCACACAAGTTACAACAGTCATGATCTCAATACGCTCGATATAATTGAGTGTTCAGCAAGAAAATAAAACCATAGTAACAACACACAGTGAAGTACTCATATACATTTTTACTGACTAAAATATATACTTACTATCTTCCTTCAACAGGCTCAATATCAAGGGTGTTGATACCATTCCCATGTACTCTTTCCACATCTCTATCTTTATTTAATTCCAAACTTAGAACCCTTAAAACAAAGCAAAAAGTATGAAATATGAACAGGTATGAACAGGTATGAACCAGCACAGCAGAATTGCTGAATGTTACTATGTGGTCTGAAGAGCTCAAACCACAATTTCCCACTTCCTCAATGCATTTAACCCATCCCTGTTATTTTTTCCAAAACTAGACAACAGACACAATACAGAGCTGGAAATAAGTCCTGTGAATTTGTCAGGAAAAAAAAATTAAAAATTCTTTATGTTGTTTGGAAGGTAAGAGAGAAAGAAAAGTGTAAAATAGGCTCAAAGAAATAGTAAAACTGCATGTGGGGGTCAAGATATAAAACAAAAAATGGGATGTAATTTGCAAACAATAAGCAAAAGTAGCATTAAGAAGCAGTTGTTTTAGATGCAACAAATATTAGCTTGAATTTTCATCATGTACCAGCCTTCCAAGCTTCGGTTTACTTGGAACTACGGACACCTAGTGGAGGACAGATTAATTCAGTCTAACAAATTACAGTATTTCCTTTACGGAAACAATGTTTGCGTGTTATGTTTTCTGTAACATTAAATAAAAACGACACTATCCGCATGATGAAGCTGTCAAGGCAAACTTTTCTCAACTGCAATTAGTATCTTGTATTATTTAGTAGTAGACTGTATCTTTAAATACGCTAATATTACATAGTCAAAAAAGAGATAGATTCTGCTTTTATGCTACCTGATACAACATTAGCCTTACAAGATGACCTTACAAGATGTTTCCTACAGCACTATTTCATAAAAACTGTTATCAACAGAAACATAACCAAGTAGATAACTGAAAAGCTGTAAGGCCAAGTGCCCTTACTCTGCTTCAGCTGCAAAAATACTAATGCAAGAAGCACAGGCTGTTACAGGCAGACCCCCCAGTAGCATGTGTGCAGGCATGCTCCAAAAGCAGAGAGTCATCTAAGCTCCTTTAAAATATGTGTAATATAAGTACGCAAGAATTCACCTAGAACAAGAACTTCAACATATACAAGATACATAGTTTAAAACTTTTGAGGTCAAGACTGAATTTTAGTGAAGCAATAAATCCCCCACAGGAAATGTTTTCAAACAAATGATGTTAAAATGTAGTTATAAATACAACCTACTAAGGACTACAGATTATTTATTTTTAAAGCTAAAATCAAAATGTTTAGAATGGGATGTGTTAGGTAGACAGTTGTCCAAGTAACATAAATCCTTCCTACTATGCTTGTGTTCTTAATACTGGGTGCTACGTGAGCGCTTACGGCACAGAAGGAAGTAAAATCGTGTTGTCAAAATGCACACAGAAACAAGTTTCCTGAATCACTGAGATTAACCTCAATTTTCAAAAATTATCTTTTTACAACGATAGAGCCCCAAAAGCTGCAAATCAGCAACACAAATCCTTCCTGCCGCTGGAGTGGTGTGAGCGACCGAACTGAGGCTGGCTTTACTGGATTTATCTCGAATACAGGTGCAAAACTGATTCTCTGATAATGAACAACTATTACACTATAACCTTTAGCAGGAATATTAATACGCTTCTCCATACAGTCACCACTTTCCACAAAAGCTGCTGGGAACCTAAAAAACACCGCTTCTGCAACCTGCCAACAGGCCAAGTCTGGGAGGAGGGAGGACAAACCGCAGGTGCACAAGCACCGCACACATCTTGTTTTCCACATAGCAAAGCACAGACGCTACACATGAGAAACTGTTATGGCAGCAGCAGACTGGGGTACAGCTGACTGCCCTGTCCCTGCTCAGCCCGCCCCATGGCTGCTGACCCGCACGGCTGAAGA